AAATATTCATTCATTAGTTAGCCAGATCGCATTTTTTGTTCAACTCGAGGCATGATGGTGGGTAGAACAAAGTACGTGATCTGGCTAATAATGAATGAATATTTGCTGTAGAATTCTTATCAATGCTATAAGTGTATCTACAAGTTTGGCCGCCAATTTTGATTTCATTCCATTAAGTCACACGCTCAATCCTTTTTGGTCGCACTTTTTTTTCATGCTTAAGGTGTTTTTGATTAGATTCTTGACTTTGTATATACACCAACAAACCACTGCAAGTAAGAAAAAGTGACACTCGATAGTAACCAACATTAGCTTTAGAATTGCAACCCTATTATTCGGAACAGGCTTATACTTCACAGAACCAACTAGATTCTTTATAAAAAAAAATGTGGTGGTAGTTTTCCTCTAAAACTTAAATAACTTTCTTTATAGTAACGCCATGGAAATTAACAGTTTCTTGTCACCCGCATGCACTCGGTAAAGTCGTATAGAGCATCATTATTTACGCTAATATCACGTGACGCTAAACGCTTTTTAATTAGGATTTAATAAAAGTTGGCAATGAGTAATAACCGTCCATCCATATGATTCCTTTGAAATCTTTGAGCTAGAAACTGCTAATCTAGTTTGCTTGGCCAAACCAATACTTATGTATCTGCACGTGCTTTCACCCTATAGTTTTGCTCTTGTAAATCAGTCATCTTTAATCCGAATGATAAAAAAAACGAGAAGCTGTAGTAAAATTGGAGTAAAATTTTGGTCACAATTGAGAGTTTTTTTGTTGAATAACTTTGCACTTGTGGCTTACACTTACACCAATTGAGACTCCTAATTGTAGGTTGAAAGGATCTGTTAGTATACCAAATTTGAAAAAAATCCATAAAAATTAAGTATGTTTTTTTTGTACAGAATAAAGCTTCCGTAGCGAAGAGAGGAAAAAAATATTCAATCAAAATTGGAGATGTTATATCTCGGGTATTTCTTAATGGATTGCATTGAACTTTGGTATGTAAAGTAAGGGTCCAGTAGAGCACATCTACTGAAAATATGTGAGGGTTTGAAATACCACAGTCCAAGCTACTGAAAGTGGAGAATTGCTAAACTATCATTCCTGTTAATAACACGCAGTGTGATCTGCAGGTTGTTTTGACCGCACGACACACCACGGTGTGTCTTGATTTGCTGTATACACATTTTTTTAAGTTAGTAACGAGTGATTTCTCTTGAAACCACAAGAAAGCTATTTGTCAAAATAATGCGATGTTTAAGAAAGCGGATATTTGATGTCATCCTGTGTTGTATCATACGTTGTGTTTAAGAAAGCGGATATTTGATGTCTTCCAGGTTTGTCTAATGACCTGTGTTGTATCATACATTGTGTTTAAGAAAGCGGATATTTGATGTCATCCAGGTTTGTCTAATGACCTGTGTTGTATCATACATTGTGTTTAAGAAAGCGGATATTTGATGTCATCCAGGTTTGTCTAATGACCTGTGTTGTATCATACATTGTGTTTAAGAAAGCGGATATTTGATGTCATCCAGGTTTGTCTAATGACCTGTGTTGTATCATACATTGTGTTTAAGAAAGCGGATATTTGATGTCATCCTGGTTTGTCTAATGACTTGTGTTGTATCATAGATTGATGACTTTAGTCGTGGCCGGGTCGGAGGAGCTTATGCAAGTTTCGGCAAGTTTTTTTCACCATTGTTCTCTTGTTGTAATAAATTTTCTTAACACACAAGTCTAAAACCTTTCCTGTTGTTGTTCACCTTCGTATATATTTTTTTCACTTCCAGAATAGTTTTAGTCAGGAAATCACGTATTTTTCTCGTATGTGATATCACGACTTTCGCTGAAAGTTAATTAGTTTGCTGTTCTTGGTAGTTATTCAAGCGTGAGAAGCAGCTAAGTAGAAAATGTGACCTAAAAATGAAAATGTTTAGTCTTAAGTTTATTTGAGAATGTACAGGTATGGATCAAGATAGTTGAAAATGAAGCCCCGGGTAGAGTAATAGATTCTACCGGAGTTTGAAAATTTATTGAAACCTTTTGAAACCACGTAATTGCACATACAATATATATATATTTAAGTTAAAAAGGCTTTCAACAGATTTCTAAAACGCCGAAACTTGCGTCTGGTGTGACTTCGTGATATATGATATTAGTTTTAACTGAAAAAAGTGTATGTACTGTCTTAATAATATAGTGTTAATTTTTATTTTGACTTGTGATTAATTAAACAAAAATTTTCGACATTTATTTTCCCGTTTTTGTTGACAATATTTTCACGTGTTAGCGTTTGTCTCTTCTCGTTATTATCCCTCTACATGGCCTTCCAACTAGAAAGTATAATTCATTAAGTGATTAAAATATTTGTAGGTCTATAGGGATCTTTGGCTTGTAATTTAAAATCAGTCGTGATTCTCGTTATGTGCTACACATTTTGAACTTTTTTTAACGACTTTTATAAATTTATCAAACACTATGATCGTTGAAACTGAGTATAGGTACGTTTTAATAATTGTAACTATGAAGACGTTATAGTATAACATTTTTTTTACATCAGAACGTAAAGTAATAAATATATAAAAAAATCCAAATTCGATAAGGTCTAACAAGCTTACTTGTTAATATTAAAAAGTATACGATTACAACTGCTTCGTAGGCCTGATAATTTATGTGAATTGACCGATTCCAAGAAATAAAACAGGATTTAATATTCATCAACTTTGCTAGGCGTGTGTTTTATTATAGCAAAGCCACATCGGGCTATTTGCTGTGTCCACCGAGGTTAATCGAACGCCTGACTTTAGTGTTGTAAATCCGAAGACTTACCGCTGTCCCTTTTCTGGGCATATCGAACCAAGGAAGGTTTTATTGGATTTGACAGCAATGCATAATGGACAACCTATAGTTATTTTTACATGTCACTACAATTGTAATTGACAATGACAGACAATTATGAATTTTTGTTAATCTTCAAAATTTTGTGTGTGGGTAATGATGCGCAGTAAAGTGGTAAGTTTACAGGAAAAAAAATTATTTTTTGAATCAACGTGTTTTCCTAACATCATGAAGAAAGGTATGTTGGTACGTCTACTAGTATTACTAACGGTAAGGCAATGCTTATTTACATATGAGTTTACATGATTAACTTGATTTTAGGTTTAATACGTACTTAAAGCTTAATTGTATGTATATTATATGTTTTTATATGCATATATGTATTTTGAAATGTATATAAATCGTTTGTGTTCCGAAATCGTCAGTAGTTACTTTGCCAGTAGTAATTAAATCCACGCTCGTGGGTCTAGTCAAAATGAAATGGAGCATACTATTTAGTTAAAGCTTAAATTTAACTTCCATGCTCAAAATTATAGTTTTATATCTTTGAGTTTGTTTTTATTTCGTACGAGTTTTGTTACTTCAAGTGATATTACATCTAAGAACGCTGTTTGAACACTGAAATCATCCTAATCAAACGATTGAAAAAACTTAATAAATGTTACCAATTTCAGTGTGACGTAAAACTGCAAGAAAACCATATTTACAAGTTCCTTTTTTTTTTTAAAGTTTAATGGACTGAAACGTTTAGTATTCTTTATTTCCTCGTTATTCTTTCGTAATAATGAAATAATTTCCATGCAAATGAATACCGCGTTGACTTTATGGTAAACATTATGTCCTGTCCAACTAACGGTGGGCATTGGTACCTGGTATAATAAACAAATGTTCGCGAAAAAACGACAAAAAAAATATCGCCATAGCCAGGACAATCTGAAGAATAATTCTTTTAGTTCATATTCATCTGGGAAAATGACACGAGGAGATGTTTCCGAGGTGGATGAATGCATCTTTGGCCTAGTTTCTTCGGATCACCGACATTTCCCACAATATTTTATCACGACAGGTGCTTTATAAGTAAGACATCTTACTCAGACTAGAAGTCTTTAGAAGTAACTCTTGATCTCTGGCAGATTACAACTGGTCCAAGCAACATGAAACTTGGGGTCACTGTAAGTGTTAACTTACAAT